ATGTATAATAATAATTAACGTCGTTTAACATAAACATTTCTATGAAAAAAACGTAAAGGCTCGTATCAGCGCACAAATATCTCTTTAAAAAAAAATCTTACTTTCTTTTAACTAAAGACTGATAATTCAAATAAAAGAAGGAATTTTATTTTTGGTCGAAGCGAATCTTAATGCTTAATATTTAATATTTATATGTAACATGTTTACAAATAGGTACATGTATTAGAAAATCTATATATAAATATTATTAGGTACCAATAAGAGCCACTTCAACCGAAAGTAGAATTTTTTCTCTTATTTATTTTCTTATTTATTATCGGTCTAATTTCCATTTAAAATTGCTTAGAAGATACTTCTTTCTACAATCCTCTAAACGCAAAATGCATATTCAGGCTCGCGAGACAGAGATAGATGCTGCTTGCGCAATTACGTTCCTTACGGCGTCGCAGAAAATAATGAGCCTTCGATCGAAGCGCAAGTGTGGCATAATCCGCATGCGATACATCGAGAAAGAGCTAAGACCGTCGTGATAGCAAAATGCAGCAGGCTCCTCCAGTTTACTGCGGTGTGCCTTAAGCGTGCTAACGATCGCGATCGCGGAGTGTTGCAGATCCGAGAGAATGGTAGTCGAGCGGAAACTGTTGTGGTGCATGCACGCTCCCGCGAGTACATTCGCGTGTTATCCTCGGTGAAAACAGACGAGTGCAGCGTGTACGCGGAAAAAATATAGTTGTCTATGCATTAGCTTCCGGTTGCTTCTCCGTTGTATCTCTCATTCTTTCTATGAGTAAACATTTTTCTCCGTGTACACCGCCGGCTCATTTCTTGCTGCACTAGTAGTAGTAGGCGATTGCGTTTCTCCTTCCGGAATCTTCTTCAGCGCGGAAAAACGGGAAAACAAGACGCGATAAATTTGACTAATTACTTGTCTGACTCAAGCTGCGCGAAAGGCGTTGAGCCGTGTCTTGAAGTCTTTCTTGAACGTTGCTGGTTGGTTCTTGGTATTCTACATATGCATCTTCGCACATGCAACGTGCTTGCGTTATTCGCAATCATTTTCAAACTTCTCGGCACTCGAAATGATACGCAGATCACAATCCACGATAACTCGTTCCACCCTATTTCTCTTCAGTCGTGCATTCGCTCGTGGAACGTTTCTCGATCGCGTATTTCACGCAGACATTGCGTGATGTGCATACGAATCCTTAGAAATAGGTACGTATATCCTTTCAACTTAGACGAAAAATTTGGAATAACGATAAGACACAAATGATCTGTAATCAAATCGGGAATCCAGCGAAAAATTTCGTAAGCGCGACCGATCCTTGCTAACCGTAAGATCCTGATGTGCAATCGTTAGTAGCGATAAGATAACGGAACATTCTCAGGCGGCAGTTTCGTACGATAAGGCAACATTCAGGAGCGCAATACACATAGACGAGCACAAGAGAGACGATGAATTATCAGATAAAAAGAGAAGGAAGAGCAGGAACGGGAGATAGACAAGACGCGTGGGGGTGGAAAGGGGTGCAACCAAGAATGCCAAATATGTTATATGTATATACATATAATACATAAAGACTATGCGCAAGATAGGATAAGACATTCAATTAATCCTCGAATGGTCGCGCGTGAAAGCTTGATTATCATATAAAGAGTTGTATAAATGTCCATCCTTATAATTGTCGACTTTATTGGCTACAGTCAGCTTCCGAAAGTAATTCGATTACGCGCGACCAATCGAGATGCGATCGATTAAGTGTGTACACGCAAGTGATCCGTCCTATTGACGGGCACAGAGCAATAGCATGAGAGAAAAAAAAATATGTAAAACATAAACATGCACAGAAAGAACGAATTTGCTGAAGTATCTAAAAATTCAGGTAGATAGAAATCTAAAAATAATTTTGTTGGAAAATTCAAAATAATTACGTAGAAGTCTCAAGTAGAAAGTCCTCAACTAAGAGTTTGGACATTCAGTAGTCTACATGAGACAAAAATATGGCGGCATTGTAGATCATATAAAACTTATGGAAGTCTGTATATTCAGCAATAAACTCTCATTGTCGCCATATTTATCTCGAGTGTTCAGACACTTACTTGAGGATCTCTCGAGCAATGTTACAAAAAGTTTTGACATTCTAGCAATCAGCTTGAGCGTCTTACATCATTATTTTGATGACCCAATAAAATTATTTTCAGATCTGTATCTAGCTAAGTTTTGAGATACTTTAGCAAAACTTGTTCTTTGCGTGTGAATGAAAACGTACAATTGGCATAAAAGCGCTCATGAATCAACGCAAATGGCCTGCGTAAAAATGAAATAATCCGGTCAGTCCCGCATAATGAAATATAATATAGAAACTATAAGAGCTATTGTATGCTCGCGCGCCAGGCGTTTATTTTACGTGTCAAGGTGTCCTTACCCTGAAGATTCGATCTCCTGACAAGGTGTCGGGGCTAAATGTCTCCCAAGTCCCGTTCTCTAGTAACGTATCGATCGAAAGGTCGAACTCCCGCGAGCGGTTCCTCGATTTCTGTCGAGAACCAGAGAGCAAACAACTTTTAGCCTCAGGACTGTTTCTATCGAGCGAGCGATTCGAATCTTTTTTCCTCTTCCCTTCCCGATGGTTATACGTGTCTGCGTGTCGATCGTTTATCCTCGTTATCCTTCTTCCTACCCGCGACGACATCGCCGATTTCGTATCATCCGAGAAAAACTTGAAGCCATTCAAGTTCCGACGTAATAAAGCCGCGCGAAAACTTTGCGGTGTTTTACATTCTTTTAGATAGAAAGGTCTGATATTTTTGCATAATTACTTTCACACGTGTTTTCACTTCACATCGGCATGATATTGCTTTCTCTGTGTCACATACAATGATCGCAAATATTATTTAATATATATTTCGTGCGCGTGGAGACGAATTTTGATTTATAACTTTTTTAATAATTTTTTTTATTAACCTTGGTAAGGTTTCCTAATGCAAAGTTAATGCTTTTGTTTCAAAAAATTCGTTCTTTGTATTTTTCAAACACCGTGTCGTAATAAAAAGCATTTTTCCCTATGTTTTTCTCTTTCGTCGTAAAACAACGCAGATTAAACATATTACAAACATGTATGGTATATAGCTGCGAACATATAACGTTAATATTTATGTCATCTGTGTGCGTGTGCATGAGGCCCGACTGGAATAAAAATTAGCATGTTTTACACGCACTCTCTGTATCAGTTAAGACACGACAAACTTTGCATTTTTAATTATGTTTCTACGACAATTAGTGTACATTTCCATCAATGTAGATTTGTAGATTAACTTTAATTGGTTTAATTTATTCTTTATCTTTTTTAAATTCTTGAAAGAACTATAAAAAGATAACAAGTAAATTAAACCACGATTAAAGTATTATATTGATAGAAATGGACATAAATCAAATATAAATTAAAAAAACTTTTTCTTCTTGCTATTATTATGTGACAAATCTTGCGATTGTGCCTAATTGCAATGATGGATCCACGGGGGAGGAGAAGGGGAGGGAATCATGGGGCTATGGGATCTACACCACTTAGAATTTCCTTTTTTAAAAATATTTATAATAATTATGTTATATATATTTTTAATGTTTTTGAAATGCTTAATCACAATTTAGATATTCCAAAAGTATTTTTTAATTTAAGAAATTTCTAGATATAAAAAACATATATTCTATTATTTGAAATACGTTTTATGTCATTTAAATAATATTTTTCTAATGTAATGATTTAAATAGTAATTCAATATTTTGTCTTTTCATACTTGACTTTAAAAAAGAATGTCGCTTGTGACGAGCCAATGGCTTCCCTTCTTGACGAATTTCTGGACGAATTTCTGGACGAATTTCCACTGTTGCCTAATAATTGTACACTGTATCTAAGTATTGAAGCTTTCCTTTAGGATCAAGATTATAAATTCTTCCGTCTTCTGTACAGTTCAGGCGTACATCTCGTAATTTAATTTGCACCGGTCGACCTCCAGCCGATGCTCATGTTTACAATGGATGTGCGACGTTCACATGGAGGTTCCACCTTCGTAGTACAAAGGTGACGAGAGAAAGAGAGAGAGAGAGAGAGAGAGAGAGAGAGAGAGAGAGAGAGAGAGAGAGAGAG